GAGGTTGTTTCCTGTATGCTCAGTAGGACAATTTACAAGTCAAATTCTTCACTGAAAATATCCCATGCACTGCAAGTAAAACAGTATAATCTAAGTGAACAGGAAGAACACATTACCTGCTTAGCCACATCTCCTGCAGTAGGAGCATAATATGCGTGACAGCAAAGAGATGCTGGCTTTGCCACAACTTAACATCCCTGTAGCTGGTGGCCCAGGGCACTGCACGAAAAAACCTCCTGGGAAAAAGCTGAGGGACACTGCATATGGATAATCGATGAAGTTCATGAGAATGTAGTTCACTGGTCAAATGATCATGAAAGAATCATTCGTTTTTGTCTGTTTAATTGTAGAACAAATGCTGACAGTGGAGATGTGTGCAATCACTAAGGATTACTGTCACTGTTAGTGCCTACGCTATTCAAGCTGAAGTAATAATCTCTTTTGACTTCCTCTTCCATGGCAGCACTCAAACTCTGGAGGGGTTTACTATCCTTAGTGTTGCGAGACAGCAGCTGCATGATGTTGATCATCTGCTGGCAGGGCTGGGGGGCCAACACTGAGCTGGGAACAGTGTTGATGTAGTACATTTACCTCTGTGACAGCAAAGTCAAGGTCATTCATGTGTTAAAAAAAGGGGTTTAAATCAGCGTCTGACTAATTACACACTAAATTCAGTGAGACTTGCCTCCAGGTCTGTGTCATTAGGTTCTGCCTGAGTGGCCCTGATCATCTTCTCTTGCTCAAGCATTGTGTCCAGCTGCTCTTCAGGACTCATAGGTCGCCTGCTGGGTCTGGGCAAGCTTCTAGACCTGGACCTGAAATGATACATGAGGAGATGCATCCCTATGAAAGGGTGAGTGAATTAGATCAAGTGTTTTAAGAAGAAGAACACCTTAAAGTTAAGTTACTGATGTAATTTGTTTGCTTAAATGTATAATTACCTGCTCCTTGGGGTTACTGCTTTCCTCTTTCCAGGTGGTGTTAGTGCTAAAAGCCTCATTAAGATCAAAAATATATGCTGAAGTGAAGTTTCTCAGGCAAGTCTTAAGAAGTACTAAATTATCAGATAGCAAATCAAAGAATACTGCAGTCTCACATCGCTTTACAAAGCCTTCCCTTTTTAATCCCACAGCGAGACAAGCTCAAAAGGATACAAGACCCCGCTGGTTTTGCCAAGGATTGATGGAGAGTGTGTCGTCTGCGCTGGAGCTGATTAATTTTCAGATCCTTAGCCTGGGGCCTGTAGTTGTTTCCAATGGACTCACTGGGGGTTCGATAGTGACGCTGCTCTTTAAATGGAACTGCCAGCGTCCATGATTTGATCTGGAGAATGGTTTGGTATTCGCTGTGCCTTAAGACGATCTGAGTTCAAATAAAAGGTTAAAAGGTGGCACAAGGATTTTTGCTTCTAACTCCAGACAATTACTTAACTGACTTTTCTAAAGCACTAGTTCATATGCGGCACCGTGAACATTATTCTTATTTGATTGAGTTCGGAGGGTTCGATGTAACAGCTTAAGGGCAAAGGTGGGGGAACAGAATATTATCTCTTCTGACTTGTATTAAAAATGGAGTCGTCATCCATCTGTAAATTGGATGAAAACAGTGAGGGTTGGAACCAATGTTCCCTCTAATTTTTCATGTGTCTGAGCGAACACACAAACTCCCTGAGCGTTCCCGTGTACCACTGTGAGCAACAGCAGACGTGTGCACTGTGGTCACGCCAGCATCAAATCCAACCAAGTTCCATGGTTTATTAAAATAAACAAATTACAGCATTTACATTTATGTTAGACTACTTTTAATTAACTGCTTTATCCTACTTACAATGAAAAAAAAAAAAAAATCTTGTTCATGACCTGTGTAGTATGTTAACACTATTGGAAGTAAAAATAACTTGAACTCAATTTTGAAAACACAACTTTCTTTTTTTCTTTGTATAAAGCTCTGACTTTTATGATGAGTGTGGTGGTCTGGGAGAGTGTCCTGTAACTCTGTCTGCAAAATACAGTATATAATGACCAATGTTGGGCAATTAATTATATAGTTACTTCTTCAAAAAAAGTAACTGAGTTTTGCAAACAACAAACTTTCTTGCAGCTGTTTACCTAAAAATGCAGCCAAGGTGTTTTTTAAATAAACATTTCAAACTATTTACAGAACAATCAGTTGTTCTGCATCAAATTTGATGCCACACAAATCATTTGTGCCACTCCAAAAAACAATTTCTGTCCACTATGAGATAAAGGAGAACAACAGCCTGATACCTGCAGGCCTGACAACAGGAGATGTATCACTCCTGTAACACCTGTAACATTCAGCAGTCGCCTCATTGTCCTTCTACAGTCATTGGTCCTGACACACACAACAAAACTAGTGACTACACTACACACTAACTACACAAGATTTGTGCTAAACGTCACAAATCTCTCACATCTCAAAACACCGCCGGCACTCCTAAAACGTCCCCCTTCCTAAACAACTAAATGCCATGTTGCCATATCATTTTTTGATTGGTCGACATGGTACATTTTTTTTAGCTATGTTATATTGCTGCCTCTGTTCGGTGGTGTCGAGCCAAACGGACTTTAACGTGTGTTTGAACAGCTGACGGTTCACTCGTT